AGTTAGTGCCCGGCGGGACCACCGACGGCGTCACACCCGGAAGCCGGGGGCCGGAAGTGGGGCTGCACAGGCTGTCCCCAGGGGTGGGGAAGCGGAGGCCCAGGAGGAGGGGAAGAGAGGTGGAGGGTCCTGGCTGCCACTCTGAGTCCGATACCGATCCTCTTAGGTCCCGGAGACGCGGAGCAAGGGAAGGGTGTCTCCCCTCCTCCCCTCAGCCCGAGCCATGGCCGAGGCGGGGCCCGGGCTGAGTGAGACCGTCACTGAGACAACGGTTACCGTGACAACCGAGCCCGTGAGAAAGGCGGGGGGCGGTGCTGTTTAGGGGTCTGGGAGGTACCGGGAGGGCGGGGATAGGGCTCTGGAGAGTTGCTGGCGGGCCTGGGCCGGGGCATAAGGGAGGAGTGGGGTTGGGAGAATCGCCCGGACTTGGGGTATTTGTAGTGCAGGGATGGTGCAGGTGGGTCAAGTGACATGTTAGGATGTAGGGGTGCTGGGTGGCGGTGGTGTAAGGAAGAGCGGGGGCTGAGGGCTGAGGAGCGCGGGAGGTGCGGGGAAAGAAGGCCGAGTCAGAAAGCATGGTTGGAGGCCAGCTGCGGGGAGCTCGGAAGCATGCATACCCATAAGTCTTTGTCAAGGGGCGAATGTAAAAGGAAGCAGAGAGAAGGAGGGAACAGAAGAAAAGGAAATGAAGATAATATTTTGAAAAATCAGAGGAGATGTAAATAGAGAAAAAGGTAGCATTTTTGCAAAAACAGGTTAGGTTGTTTTCAAAGGGAGAAGGTTGTATTGGGCTTAATAACACTTGGATTAAGGGAGTTTAGAATAATGGTTACCAGAGATTCCAGGATGCTAGGGAATATGTGACTAAGAGGTAAGGAGGGCTGGGCTCTGAAAAAAGAGATCATAGATGAGGCTTTGAGACTGAGAAACTAAATACCACCAAGGATAAGTTGGGGGAGAAAATGGAGAAACAGTGAGGGTTCTGTTTTCCTTTGAGGATTTTCTGGGACCTTCTCTGGGTTAGGAATTGTGACTTTTTTGTGTGCTCGTGGTTCCCAAGAACAGGAAGTACTACTTCGTGGTCCCCCAAGGAGTCAGAGGCCTGTTCTCGTTCATCTCCCCCCACTCAGCTCTCCCGGTGCTGTCTGATACTCAGGAGGCCCCTGGGAGGGAGTGGGATGGTCCACAGGAGGGAACTACATGGCTATGCCCATCTCTATCAACCTAGGAGAACCGGAGCCTGACCATCAAACTGCGGAAACGGAAGCCAGAGAAAAAGGTGGAATGGACGAGTGACACTGTGGACAACGAACACATGGGGCGCCGCTCATCAAAATGTGAGTGATTGCTGGCCCACGGTAACCCTGGAGTTCTCACTCCCGTCCGCGTGCTTCGACCTCCTCACATCCACTGGCCGTCCTGAAGCCCCCAGGTGCCCCCAGTCCTGTTGTTGCCTTGGTGGTTCTCTGGCATCAGGGAGAGGAGGTTAAAATGAGAGGCGCGGAGGGCTCCAATTGGGATGGGATGTCCCAAGGCTTGAAGGCAAGGGGCATCAGAGATAGAGAAGTGGAGCTTTGGACTCCTGGCTCTCTCAGAAGATGACGGGGTTGAGTGTCTGAGTGCCAGGGGGTGACCCTGGGGAAACTGGATCCTGGAAGATAGTAGGAGTCAATAGTGGAAGTAGGAATTCTTACTGAGACCCACTGGGAATGGAACTGACTCTACATCTTACCCTTCCTCCTTTTTAACCGGGCTCCTCCTTCCAAATCCAGGCTGCTGTATTTATGAGAAACCTCGGGCCTTTGGTGAGAGCTCTACGGAGAGTGATGAGGAGGAAGAGGAAGGCTGTGGTCACACACACTGTGTACGGGGCCACCGCAAAGGACGGCGCCGTGGAACCCCCGGACCGAGCCCCACCACCCCGTCCCAGCCCCCTGACCCATCTCAGCCCCCTCCAGGGCCAATGCAGCACTAAATTCCTCTCTCCCTCACCACTTCTGTGTCTGTCTGGCCCTGACTATATTCATATTGCTACTTGGGGACTAACCCATGGTTTGATCATTCTCCAGTCCCCACCCACCTCTCTGTCTGAAGGAGGGAAGGAGAGGAGGGTGGACAGAGATCCTGGAATTCTGATTTGCTGCTATTCTAGAACCCAGGCTTCTGGGTTGCCCAGCCTTCATTCTTTTTTTGTGTGTGTGTGTGTGTCGTCCCCCCCCACCCCCGCCCCCCCCCCCCACCCATCCTCCTCCCGTCAGGGATCTAGGCATCTTGGTCCCAGTCTCTTTGCTCCCACTGCCACATCACCTGCCCTGGGACCCAGCTCTCTCGGCTCCCTGCACTCTGCTTGAGCCCCAAATGCTTAGATTGGATTTCCAACAGCCCCAGCTTTCACTGCCAGGGTCCCGGTCAGGTTCCAGGCAGTCCTGCCCCAGCTGCGCTTGTTAGTCCTGGCGTAGAGCTCTTCCACTAATGTATTTCTATTTATATAGTCCGAGCGCCTAGTCCTTGCTGTGGTGTGAGGGGTCATGGAGAGCTCCCAGCCCTTCTGCTCCACTCCTGCCCACTCTCTCATGCCCTCAGGAGGAGTTGGGGGAGAGAAAGGTCTTTGTCATTCTCACCTTTAATGGAAAATGAAAAAAGCAGCAGTCATGTCCTCTTTCCTCACCCTTCACCTGTGACCTAGGGTTTCTGACAAAGCTGGCTTTGGGAGTGGTCACTTAGGGCCAACTGTCCCTTCAGTTTGGTCTTCCAGCTTCAGAGACAGGTCCAACATCGTCGCAGGGAGAGGAAGGAAAAGAGCAGAGACGAGGGTATGTCCCCTACACTCCACTCTAACCCCTTCCTGCCTGGCTCTGATGTCTGCCAGTCCAGGCGTCCAGCCCCCTTGGCCCTCCTGGGGATCTGAATGTCATTGCCCACGCCTCTGCCCACGCACACTTGCAGAGATAGTCAGATCCACATCACCACAGAGATCTCATTTATTGACACAGATGCACAAAATAAATAACCCAACATCACAAAATGTGTTTAAATATGGGCCCTTTTATACATGTGGGGGGAGGTGTGAGGCTACACACAAGGAGGCCGTAGGTGTCTGAGCCATCCCCAGGTTGAGGAAAGGAGAGGTAGCACTGTCGGTTTCTTTCTTTTTTTAATTTTTTTTTATTGATTTCAGAGAGGGAGAGGGAGAGAGACTGAAACATCAGTGATGGGAGAGAACCATTGATCGGCTGCCTCCTACACATCCCCTACTGGGGAACAAGTCCACAACCTGGGCATGTGTCCTTAGCTGGAATCGAACCTGGGACCCTTTAGTCCACAGGCCGATGCTCTATCCACAGAGCCAAACTGGCTAGGGCCTTACTGTCGGTTTCTTACTGGAACAGTACAGGGGGTAGTTCAGAGAAGGTTCTTCGTGGGAAAAGACGGAACGTGGGAAGCAGTCACCATGAAGTAGGACCCCCTCCCCCCCAAAAAGGAAAACCACCAACCTTGACATTACGCTTCCTAGAGAACCCTAAGGCCAGAGCCCAGCCTCTTGCTTCTAGGAGGAGGTCTTGCTTCCCGGGAGAGACCTGAGAATGGACGGGCAGGAAAGCCTGGGGGAGGCTGGCCTTGTGTTGAGACCAGCAGAGGAGGAAGTGGAGGGGAAATATTGGAAGAGCCTGGAGCAGTGTAGATGGGGGAGGGGCTGGAGAGGAGAAGCTCCCAAGAAGAGGGGTGCAATGGATTGGGCGTTGGGAGTGATGTGGAAACGAGTTCAGTTGAGTCTCACTGTGTGGGAGAAAAGATGCCATGTAGGTGGGCAGGGTGCTCATCGGAACTCGCTGCGGGCGGGTGTGGACAGGTCCCTGCAGGAGGGCCTCCGAGCCGAGCCCACAGGGCACAGCCCTACGCGGCCCTTGCGTTGCACTGACTCCCCAGCCGCACCGAAGGCGTAGTGACTCTCCACGTCGTCGTCCTCCCCAGGAGGGGCTCCGCCCGAGGCGGGGTCCAAGGTCTCCACCTCCCAGCAGTGGCGGCCCGCCCCGAAG